GGCCTTTGTGGGGAACTAATTAGGGGCAGTCCTGACTAGGGTTGACAGCTCCAGGCTGGGAAATTTCTGGAGATTTTGTGATGGAATCAACAGAAGCCAGAGTTTGGGGAGGGGAGGGGAGAGGAGAGGCCTCAGCTGAATAGAATCCCATAGAGTTCACCCTCCAAAGCCGTTATATTCTCCAGGGGGAGAGAGAGATCTGTTGTCTGGAGTTCACTCATGATACCAGGTGATCTTCAGGCCCCACCTGAAGGCTAGCTACCCTAGGCCTAGCAGCACTTGATGACACCTAACCGGCATGACTTTACGAGGCCTGGCTGCTTGCTCCTGTTCACCAAAAACAGTCCTCCTAGGACAGTCAGTGTGGCATAGCAGTTAGTGCTTCAGGTTATTGCTGTGGAAGCTGAATGGGTGATTTCAGACCAGTCACAGACTTTCAGCTAACCTACCTCACAGGGTTGTTGTGCAGATCAAAAGGGGGAGAGGAGAATTATGTAAGTTGCTTTGGTCCCCACTGTGGAGAAAGACTGTACTTTTTCTCCTGGGGAACCATTATTGCCAATCTTGAGGTGAGGACTAGAGATCACTCAGAATTACAACTGCTCTCCAGATGGCAGAGATCAGTTCCACTGGAGAAAATGATAGCCTCTGTCTCATTATACCCTGCTGAGGTGGTGCAGGGTCTGCCAGACCCCAGTTCTTGCTGTGGAAGCTGACTGGGTGATTTTGGACCACTCACATTCAGCCTAACCTACCTCACAGGGTGGTTGTGTAGTTCAAAAGAGGGAGAGGAGAATGATGTGAGCTGCTTTGGTTCCCACTGAGGTGAAAGACTGTACTTTTCCTTGGTAGAGGCTGCAGGGAGCAGGGAGGAGTTGGAAACCTGAGGTTAGAGGGGTAGATAATGGTAGGTTGATGGTTGGCTGGGAAGGAGATAGGGTTGCTAACTCCAGGTTTGGGAATTCCTGGAGATCTGAGGAGTGGAGCATGGAGACGTTGTGGTTTGAGGAGGGGTGGGACCTCAGACAAGCCCATAGACTCCACCCTCCAAACAAGTCATTTCCTCCTGGGGAACCATTGTTGCCAATCACTAGCTGAGGGCTGGAGATCACTCAAAATTACGACTGCTCTTCAGATGGCAGAGATCAGTTCCCCTGGAGAAAATGGTGGGCTCTGTGTCATTATACCCTGCTGAGGTCGCCACAACAAATTGACGAGAGGGAGAGGAGAATGATGTGAGCTGCTTTGGTTCCCACTGAGGTGAAAGACTGTACTTTTCCTTGGTAGAGGCTGCAGGGAGCAGGGAGGAGTTGGAAACCTGAGGTTAGAGGGGTAGATAATGGTAGGTTGATGGTTGGCTGGGAAGGAGATAGGGTTGCTAACTCCAGGTTTGGGAATTCCTGGAGATCTGAGGAGTGGAGCATGGAGACGTTGTGGTTTGAGGAGGGGTGGGACCTCAGACAAGCCCATAGACTCCACCCTCCAAACAAGTCATTTCCTCCTGGGGAACCATTGTTGCCAATCACTAGCTGAGGGCTGGAGATCACTCAAAATTATGACTGCTCTTCAGATGGCAGAGATCAGTTCCCCTGGAGAAAATGGTGGGCTCTGTGTCATTATACCCTGCTGAGGTCGCCACAACAAATTGACGCTGAGTGTCCAAGGCTGGGGGCAGCCGCCCAGAGTCTCTTTCTGGAACTCGTTGTATTTTTTTCTAGAACAGGCCTTATTCTTATTGATATACAAAAGCCAAGCCATGCTGGCAAGGACTCACCTATTCTCCCATTGGCCACTGGGGAAGCTGCCTTGGCGCCTATTGGCTGCTCCATTCTTATACCCCCCCCCTTTTGACACATAGCACCTTGGGAGTTGTAGTTCTCAGCTGGCCTTATTGCAGCCATATCAAAGGGAATTAGAACCCAAGAGGCTGTGGGGCATTGCAGAAAGTCAGTTGAAGTGTTAATCAGTTAAACTGTTAAACAGGAATTGGGGGAAAGGGAAGGCCTAGACATCTCCCTGAATTACAGTTGATCTCCACACTACAGAGATCTGTCTCCATGGAAAAAACAGGCTTTGGAGGGTGAGCTCTATGGCACTATACTTCACTGAAGCCCTTCAACAAACCTGGCCCTCCCCTAAGTAATGCCAACCTCCAGGTGGCACCTGGAGATCTCCAGGTATTACAACTGATCTCCAGATGACCAAGATCAGTTCTCTTGGAGAAAATGGCTGCTTTGGGCAGTGGACTCTATAGCATTATATCCCACTGAGGTCCCTCCCCACCCCAAACCCTGCCCTCCCCAGGCTCTACCCCTTTTTTTCTAGAACAGGCCTTATTCTTATCTATATATCTAATAGCGACAGGCGCCCCCTGTGTGCGGATACCTAAATCCGCACATCGGGGGCACCTGGGGGGGAGGGAGATTTTTGTGCACACTTGGGACGGTCCCCAGGTGTGCACAAAAATCCTAAACCTAAAAAAACTATTGGGGGGATACTTAACCCCCCCCCCGAAACTGACAAGAGCGTCCCTACGCATGCGCAGGGAATGCTCTGCAAGCAGCGAGGGCCGCGCGGCAAGCCGCACGACTCTCACTTTGGGGCCCTCCCCTCCCTCCTTTTCTGTATTTCCATAATGGGCCTTATTCCTAGTTTAAGTATAAATGACTGGAAATTTTTCCATAATACCACCTTGTGATAAGAATCCAAGCACAGTATTTGAGCAACGGAGAATTTTAACAAGTGAATTCAGCAAATTTAACACAAAAATGTTTTTAAGCTACCAGTTTCTAAAATTACTGACACTATTAATACACAACAGGAGGAACTGAATAACCATCTCTGTGCTACTCTGTGACAGACAGAAAACCCTGGCATCTTCAGGTAAAAAGATCAGGTGTCGTAAAAGACCTCTACCTGAGATTCTAGAGAATCACTGCTGGTCAGAATAGACAATACTAACTTTGATAGATCAATGGTCTGGCTCAATATAAGGTAGATTTATGATAGAGGGGAAAACATACATGCAAATAAAGAAAGCATTTGAATGTACAGATAACAAAGCCCTGGGCCTCAAAATCTGATTAGATATTTGAGCAGATACGGCAAGATTTTAGACTACAAGTCATTTAGTGCCTTCTAGCCAAATGACTCTATCCAAAGAATAAATTCCACTGAAATTATATATCAAACTTATCCCACATTGCTCAGTCCTGCCTCGGCTGTCTAGGAGCCAGTGTGGTATAGTGATTAACGTACTAGGGGCACCTGGGTTCAAACCCTTGCTCAGCCATAGAGCTCAGTGGGTGATATTAAGCCAGTGATTCTCATAGCCCGACCTACCCAACAGGGTTATTGTGAGGATAAAGTGGAGGAGAAAACCCCTGCATCATAAACCTACTTATGTATAAAGTTATCATAAAATTTCACAAATGAGAGACTTGCAGGCTTACAGCATTTGGTTCAGGGAATGGTCCAACTCAATAACATATTTTTAAACTTTGCTGCACAGCAGAACCGGGAAGACATGATTCAAAGTGGAGAAGCGTTTGGTGGGAGGAGTGTGTGCACACAGAGGTACATACACACACCCCCGGAATAGTTCATGACATTTCCCCCAATTCTTCACATTTTAAGCATGAATCAATATTCTTTGTGAACAACCTGGATTCAAATACTATCAGAATGATCATTTTACAAAGCCCCAAGTGGTGCAAGTCAAAAGTGGTTGTATAGAGAAAAGGGACAGCCCAGACGCATAGTATAGCTACGGACTATATTTCTGGCATATTCCTGTTACTATTCTCTAGCATATAAAGTTAGAGGAGATCAGGCATAGCAAGACTAAACTGCAATTCCATCATGGCAGTTTGTGTTTAATACCAACAACTAAAAACATGTTCTGAAGAAAATTATGCCAATTTAGAGTGTCAAATCACCCAAGTTTATATGTTGGGCACGGCATTGCCAGGGTCATCCTCTTACAGACCTATCCAAGATTTCCATTTTTAGCCCTCCATTTTGTCTACTAAAAATCTCACCGGATTACAAATTTTGCATAAAAGTTCCCTACTGTTCTCAGTCTGATGAGTACATTAGAGATGGGTAAATTGTGCTGGTTCCACTCTGTCTTCCTGGATTAAGATTTCAATTTGTAAGTAACCCTTTACACCATTTATCTTTCATTCCTCTGCACTCCAATTATTTCTTACTCCTCAAAACTATCTTAACTTTCTTCAAAATGCATAAAACAAATATATAAAGAGGGGGGGAAATAAATAAAAACACAAAATAAATAAATGCCCTGGCGATAGAGCATAGCCTGCAAGCATCGTAACTCCACCATAGCTGGAAGTGGAAACCAATTTGTAAGTAATTCAGACATCACTGTGAGTCAAAATTAATTTCAAATGAGCACTAGATCCCAAGGATATTGTGGATAAAGAAAACCCAATTCCTGGTATGCCCAGGATATGAATGGCACAAAGAAAACTCAGCATCCGTAGCAATGAAGTTGGGGTTCATCCTGGACTGGCACTTATACTATTGCACACATCCATGTGCTTCAGATCTCTGAACTCATGAAGCCAGAACATCAGGGTCAGCTCCCATTTCCTCTCCATCCTCCACTCAGAAAATCTCGTACTAATCAGCCTATAAGATTATTAAACCCATCAACTATATGAGTCGTACAGTAAATGTAATATCTTTGTACCGTGGATACATATATGAATCCATTTTCCCCTCTGACCAAATATGCTAATGCAAACAATCATATGTACAGGCCACACCTTGGTTACTCATTTCAGTATCCTCTGCTGATACTTACAGTTTTTAAGCACTATCCCATTACTCTACCCTGACCTGATTTCTGAAATATGAACCATCTACTAATTAAACCTAGGCCAAACCTTTCCCAAATACATTACCCAAAGATGACCCAGCTGACAATATTTTGACATTTTGTTAGTACCTCAATTTATGTGTGAAATATTTTCTACCTGATATCCATAGAAGACCATCCACAACAGATCCTGCATGACAGGAAAGGGATCGGTCAAAGGACTGAACAAAAGTCCACTTGTTCTTCTTGGGACAATAGCGCTCAACTGTAGGCAAAACTTGTCGGAGTTCATTTCTACCACCTACTGCATAGAGATACTCATCCACAGCTCCCAACACAAAATGTTCCCGGCAATTCTTCATTGGAGCTATTTCAGCCCAGGAATTATTGCGCGGATCGTATCTGCAGGCAGTCCGTACTGCACAAGTGCGGCCAGTAGCATGCTCAACTTCACCTCCTGCTACAAAGAGAAAATCTCCCATTACAGCTACACAGTGGTGGCTTCTTCCTACTGGCATTGGAGCCAGTTCACTCCAGTTTGCAATCCCTGCTATGTGAACATTCTCTTGGTCCACAGGATTGAAGTATCGGAGTTCTTTAACTTTACAAATCTCCCGTTTTTTACCACCAATGATGTAGAGTGTGTCCGACTGGAAGCGAGGCTTGGTCCTTTTGGTCTGCCAAATTGGCTGTGCGTAGATGCTTTGATGGTATGCCAAGGCCTCGTTGATAAGTCCTGTTGCCGTTTCACTAGCTTGGATAAGAGGGTGAGAAAGGGCTACAGTATGCAAAGTATCTACGTCCATAAGCCCAAACCGGACATACTGGAGAAGTTCATCCATGTATTGATAGCGGCAGTTGTGTTCCAACCACCTGACTGCTAGCTAGAAGAAAGAAAACAAATAAAAAATGAAATTATCTGCAGTTTTCACAATCCAGTGTTGGATTGTTCGCATTCTTAAAACTGTATATTTTGCAGTACTCAAAAATTATACTCCCAGATTTCATCATCTGTACATATAAAAGGATTACTTCATATATTATGTCAACCGGATAGCTTATACATGATAACAAGGCAGTGCTGACACTGAGATAATTCTTGCATCTTGTGAACATACCAAAAGTTGGCTACACAGATAGCTGGTAAAAAAGAGAACTTAAGTATCTGTAGTCAAATATCTGCATACAACACTGCAGTTGTTTTTGCCCTAACGTATTACGCAGCCATGATACAAGCTCTATGATTAACTAGCAGCTGCAAGAGGAATATTATGAGGACTGCAACTACAAAAGCAATATGCCTGGCAGTCATATCACTGGATAACATTTTTTTGGGAGGGGGTGTCTAAGTCATATATCCTATCCTTCAAAGAAGAGCGTAACTGCCAATACACTAGCATCCATTACATATACTATATTGTGGATCAAGCAACCTACACCACAGTAAAGATACCTAAAATGTGAATAATACTTACAAATACACCTCACTCAGTTATATCAAGGTGTTTTAACAATAAATAGAAAGCTTAATTTGATATACACATAGTCCAAGACACCCTGATCATGAAAGACAGGCAAACAGATAAGACGCAGGTGGGCAGCCATGTTGGTAGTTTGTGAACGTTGACTCAAAGCAGCAGACAACAAGACAAAGCAGAGAAGTGGTAGAATTTTGGTTTTTTTGGAAGACTAGGGAAAAAAAGGGAAAGAATTTACGGTAGCAGCAAAGACTTAAAATGGGACAGGCCAAACGAGTGAGAACCTTTCCCCATCATAGTGTCTTAAAAATGGGGGAAAGATTCAATGAACTATGAATGGAAGAAGCTCATAGACCAGAAGTCCTTCTGTACTCTCTTTCCCCAACAGTCCCATTTGTCTTTCTCAGAGCTGCTTCTAAGGCTTGAAGGGTACTTAGGAATTGGATGTTATCAGTGTGCTGATGACACCCAGCTCTATCTCTCCATTCAAATCTCCAGGTGATGCAGTAGAGGTCTTGAGCCACTGCCTGACTGCTGTAGTTAAATGGCTGAAAGTGAACAAACTCGAACTGAACCCAGACAAGATGGAAATAATGCTGGTTGAGAAATCTGAAGTTTTAAACAACATCATGCATCCCACTTTTTGTGGGGTTCAGGTGTCCCTTGCTGACTCAGTTAAAAGCCTCAGGATTATACTAGATACAGCATTGCTGTTGGAGAAACAAGTTAATGCAGTTATCAGGTTAAGTTCAAGATGTGAAGATGAAGGTTTCCCTTGCTCGAAAGCTAGTCGAATCCGACTCTAGGGGGCGGTGCTCATCTCCATTTCCAAGCTGAAGAGCCAGCGCTGTCCAAAGACATTTCCGTGGTCATGTGGCCAGTATGACTAAACACCAAGGCACACGGAATGATGTTACCTTCCCACTGAAGCGGTACCTATTTATCTACTTGCAATTTCTTGCTTTCAAACTGCTAGGTTGGCAGGAGCTGGGAGAGCTCACTCTGTCATGCGGCACTAAGGTCTTGAACTGCCGAACTACAGACTTTAATCTCTGAGCCACCATGGCCCTAAGTTCAAAATACTGTCTATCAAAGACAAAACTCTCGGTGCCACAGTCCCTCATATCTGCTTCAGTCCCCTATGCTCTGTCACAACAGCTTTGCTCACCTGAGCAGGGTCTCCTGCAAGTGCCACCCTGGAAATGGGGAAAAGCAACAACGTCCTGTACCCTATGAGGCACCTCGTGTGCTCTTATGAACTCATATTTATGAGGGTTTGCTAGTTATGTGCAAGAGGGACTGAACTGCAAGGTGGCACCAAGTCATGCCAGCTATAGACACACGTCCAGAAGAAGAAAGCCTTCCTGTGAAACGCTGTGCCTATGATTCCTGCATGCCACCAACCCACTCTCCTGCAGTAAGGTGGACCAGCGCCCTAGCCATGTATAGCATTGAAAAACTAAGCAGCTGTCATGCCAGGCCAGAAGACAGGGGACCCAAACGCCATGAAGAGTCCCTTCTCCTTACACGTAGGCAACATGTTTGTCCCCACCTAATACATCACCTAGCGGAAACTGCAGCCATAAGACAACAAAAGAACAATGGCTCTGGCCAGCACAAGACACAATCCCATCAGGTGCCATTGTCCAGACTAGTTTTCCATTAAATTCAACATTGCCCACTCCTGTAGACCTTCAACCCCAGCACCAGTCAGCATATTTTTGGGACAGACTAGCAGGAGGTGTGCCAAGAGAGGTGGCCAAGCTTAGCCCACCCCTCAACCTCCTAATAAAAGGGAGCACTCAGCATCAGCTCTCTCTCTCTCTCTCTCTCTCTCTCACCTACTCGCACTCCTGCCCCCTTACCTGACCCCCCTCCTACCCGAAGCCTCCAACTCTTGGTCACACAGCCAGAGTCTCATCGTATGCCTGCCAGTTCAGGACACGACCCCTCCCCGGCATCCCATAGTCCCCTCCTTTTCCTGAGATTCGCTCCATCCAACTATGGACAGATAGAGTATCTCCCATCATCGAAATATCCTGCGAATGTGCTCTTCTCTTCTGTCTATATTTCCTAGATGCTGTATAATTTTGTGTGTGCTTGCGTTATTGTCTGCTTGAAATATCTTCAGTAAACAGTGCATTTTATACCGACGTCAGTCTCAGCGTTTTTTGGTGTGTCTGGAGGAAACGCAACCCCTGTATACACAGATGCTTGCCCCTGTATTCGCCTATTGCCTGATTTAAGATCATAATTCCCCATATTAAATAGCGATCTGAGGCAGTTTGGGTAATACTTGACAGCCCTTTTCACCACCACTGTATCAAAACGTTTCAGAAAGATGCTTTGGTAAAGGTTTAAGGTCTGTGGACTATATTACTGTGTACAGTATGTACTGTCTGTTGCTGTAAGTAGAATCCTACTGTGTAATTTCTGCATCATTTAGTGTGTCATGCTAATACTTAAGCCATATACTGAAACAGTCTTCTTTGAGAAAGTCTTCAAGTTTGTAAGCACCTTTTATGTTGCTAGCTAACTGCATTCTTACTGGCATTAGAAATGTGTTCTTACTGTACGTGGAATTACTGGCTATCTTTTTCCTTTAACTTTCTAGCTGTTTGTTCTTTCTTTGTAACATACTGTAGCCTTTGTGTTTTCTAATGTGGTATCATTTTGTAATAGCGTACCGTTTATATTTTCAAACTTACTCTAATCCACTCTGGGGATCTGGATTAGGATGGCGGACCAGGATAGAAATGTGTTTAAATAAATGAGCAGAGTAGCCTGGTAGATTTGCAAGTATGAAGCAAAAAGCATCTTGGAAGTGCCCTTAAGGCTGAGTGTGTTACACACACACACACACACACACACACACACACACACAAGTATTTTACAGTTGCCTTTGTCTCTTGCAAATGTACGAGTATGTATCTACCTATTGAAAGAAACATAAACATTACCCACAGACATGCTGTGTGACAACACGTTGCTATTTAAAGCAAACAAGCTGCATAACAATTTTCTATATTTTTATTCTGCAGCTTTTAAAAAATTACTATGTTAGATACAGGTGATAAACAACTATGCCCAGGTAAAGAGAAAATTAAAGTGGGAAAGTATTCTCCTAGATCTGTTGTGCCTTTGAGCACAATCTGAAGGGAAGCAGGGGAGAAAAAGGCAGAGAGAGCTACAGTGAAGGTCACCGAGTGAAAGAACTTCCTCAGGGCACAGAATAAATTAAATCCCAAGGAAAAAAAATAAAATGTGATTTCCAGAGTGCAAGGCACAAACTCAAAATGACAATGATTGACAGCCAAACTATATCCGTGCAATATCGAAGGCTGCACGTTCTCATTTACCTCAGTGTAGCCAGCAAGCGCCCATTAAACATCCGTCTGATGCCCAAATTAACCTTCTTGGCAAACTGAAAGAGGCACAAACTATCATAATCAACCTTTCATTATCACAGCAGCCTCTAGTTAAAGGGTCAGAATAATTGTGCCATCAGAGCCCTGATTGTTTTCAATCAACAGACGGCTGGAGTGACAGCTCAGTGATGGAGTAGTTTGATGAAACCGCACCAGGCCTAATCAGAGCAGATGAAAGGAAGGCATGATTGGTGCAAATGAACAGTCGTGCCTCTCTTTTTCATTTACAATCTGAAATTACTCTTAAATTTACAGGTTTCCCCCCTCCCTTATGAGTATCTCAGAAAGAATATTTGACTTATTATGAGTTCTGACAGTGCAGAGTTATAAAACACAGGTAGGATTTTCCCCTCCCTCTCAGTGGAAGCTTTAAGTGTATATTCAGCATAAATTTAACAACATTCACTCTTGAAAACATGCAAGCCTTCCTATGACCTCACCTTTCAGTGATGTTTGATTAGCAGGACAGTTTATTGCAGCTAACATACTTCACGGTGAGGGGGGGGGGGAAGGTAACAACAGCAATAATTATCGGGCAAAGATCTCTTCTAAACATCTTCTCCTAGCTAATAAATTCATTGCCATATCTAGCTTTAAAAAACTGTCGTATTTATGAAGTTTCCATTCTTTGGAAGAAAGAAACAATCAGGAAACATTTCAAATCCAAGTAAAAATGCATTATTGTACTTCATGTATCTGGACATCAACTTTTGATAGGGCTGCAGCAGTTCAAAATTTTTATATACACATATGTGCTATATATATGTGCACACACAAAATATGAGTATATAAGTGTTGTTTACGTAGCTTACCAGCTTCAAGCAAATCAAACTAGGACTTATTTTGATTAAAAGAGACAAAAATACCCCATCTGTGTTGAAGCCCAGCGCCTTAACCAAATAAAACCGGAAAACACCCCTAAACCAAAGGCTCCTTTTTTGTAATGCTGAACAGAGCAGGTATTTCAAGTGCAGAGCA